TGGTACCCATTTAAGGCTTGGTTGACTTAGAGAAAAAATCCAATTCGATAAGGGTTTGAACCCTCGGGCTAAAAAATTTGTATCTAGCCGCTAGACCACCACGACTTCCATAGGAAGACTGAGGGAATAAGGTCATTCTTTAGATAAGATGGGACAGGGATCTTCTGACTGAAAATGCGCTGCTTCTGGCGTTGGTTACAGTGGACACCACTCTAAGCATCATCAACCACAAGTGCCTTGTCGATTGACGTGGCCGATCATGCCTCTCCACAACACGCAATCCGTAACTGTGTGTATCAGTTCGTGTGCTGACACCTCTTCATGCCACGACAAAAGACTGTCAGAAATCTTCTCGTGCTGTCATTTCCTAGACAAAGTTTCCACATAATCGAATAGCTCGAGCGCCTACTTGGTTCAGTAAAAAAAGATACAAAGAATATACTGCACAACTTACTGTCTGGTGTAATTTGCTGTTGTTGTTAGAGACATGGGGAATTCAGCAAAGGTGAGGAAATCAGATAAAGGTATGCACAACCACGGGTTTCAACAGCTATAGGATTCACAAGGGGGCGCTATATTCGGTACACCTTCAGCAGAAGCCAGCAGATAATAAATACAGAGGCGCTGAAATCGAAAGTAGGGCTATCTTCCTAATAACGAATAACAGTCCCAAATTATCGAGGCAGAAAATATACCCTAACATGGCCTCAGTCATGTGTCAATTGCGCACTTCCAGCTACTTAAATTGCGCACTTCCGGCGACTTCCGCCACCGCCGAGTGCATCCCCCACGCCGCTCACGCGCGCGTGGATTGGGGCTAAACTAGATGGCTGGGACTCACGAGCAGCAGCTACCGCATTTCCTGCAGCTGCCTTCATTTATTTGCTCGTGAGTCCTAGCCATCTAGTGAGCGGCGTGGGGGATACTCTCGGCGGTGGCGGTATAGTCCCCGGAAGTGCGCAATTGACACGTGACTGAGGTCCTGTTAGGGTATATTTTCTGCCTCGATAATTTGGGACCGTTATTGGGAAGATAGCCGAAAATATATGGACTGAGGAAACAAAGACGTCAGAAAGAAACGATATAACGACAGTTGCCATGTGATCGACTGGATTTCATCAGTGGTAACAAATTGATTGCAATGGGTAAATCAGAATCGAGGACTAGACTAGAAGCCCTATGTGACGTATAGAGGCCCAGCTTGATGATGATGATGATAATGATAATGATGATGATGATGAAGACGCTGTCAGAAACAGACTACAGCATATATATCAACACATTGTGAGGTGCGCCAGCGCCCACACATATGCACACACTCGCACACACACAGACACTCTCTCTCTCTCTCTCTCTCTCTCTCTCTCTCTCTCTCTCTCTCATTCAAGACAAATTCGCTATAAGACAAATACGCTATCAGACAAATACGCTATAAGACAAATACGCTGTAAGACAAATACGCTATAAGACAAATACGCTGTAAGACAAATACGCTATAAGACAAATACGCTATAAGACAAATACGCTATAAGACAAATACGCTACAAGACAAATACGCTGTAAGACAAATACGCTATAAGACAAATTCGCTATAAGACAAATACGCTATTGTAGGAAAACACGGATTATTCAGCGGATTGTGCTGAAATTGGTGTCAGAAACCCGAGCTTCTAGGTTTAAATCCGCATCAGACTTCACCCTTTGGGTGCCGATTTGTCCATACAAACATGTCTAGTGTCATATACCAGATGGGCTACAGGCAGTGTTGCCACTTTGGATCTTTTATATCCAAATTTAGATCGTTTTCGTTGCATTTAGATACTGTTTTTGACGTTTAGATCGTAAATATTTTTCTAGATCCTTTTCATACGGAGTTAGATATTTTATAGATTTTTGTTCTTTCATTGTCAATTTAATAATTACTGTGTAAAATATTTACTACAATATTTTTGTTTTGGTCTGGCACGTACATTGTGACAACTGCCATTACTTGAACTTTGAACTCTCATTGGGGTCAACGCACAAATACCTGGCAGCCTCGGTACTGATTAATAAAAACGCTCGTAAATCATACTAACTTTGTTTCAACCGTATCCTCACTGTGCTGACTTTGCATTTCTTTTTCATGTGATTTAAAAAAAAACAATTGCTCACCTTCTTATGTGGCTTTCACTTTAAAAAAACCTTTCAACATGCCAAAAGTAAAGTATGAGTAAAAAATTTGGAAAGAGTGGTTGCATGATGACAAAATTAAAAACTGGGGATATGACCAAAGCTTGTTGTAAGTACTGCAAGTGTAAAAATTCTGTCAGATTGCAAAACTAGATGGTTATCAATTTAACCAGCTGTTGAAAGAATCATGAAGCAATGGCTGAAGTTGAAGACACACTTTGAAATAACAAGACAAAGTAAAAAGTGCTACACAGCTGAAATACTATATGGAATGTACAGTGATGAAAAAAATTTGTCATTTATTCTCTTTTTATAACCTATTCTAATGGAAGTGCAAAAAGTTAATAAACTGTTCGAATCTAAACTTGTTGATAAAGTTAAATTACTTGATGATCTCACCTTGCTATTTCACTCGGTAAAAGACTGGTGTTGACAACTTCTAAAGCTGATTTGCTCACTTGCACTATAGAGAGCTATTTGGCTCCTAAGCCACACATTGGATATTAAATCGAATCAAAAATTGATGATTTAAAAACGAAAGGATTGTTAACAGAGAATTAAGAGAACAACTTAAGAAAACGCTGTCAAGATGTCCTTATCTCATTATTGAAGCAATTGAAGCAGAGACTTCCTGAAAATCTAGATGTTTTGAAAAATATTTCACTTTTTTCTGTGAGCAACATACTTCAGCCAATAAAGGATATACCTAAATATTGTAAAGTTATGAAATTTTTAGGGTCTACTGATAATAGTATCGCTGAAGCAGAATATCAGTTAACCAAAAAAAAAAAGTTAGCTGAATGGACAAACAAAACATAAACTAAAGCGTTTTGGAGTGAAGTGAGACAATTTAAAGATGCCTCATCTCCATTCTGTAAGCTCTTTAAAGTGCCATGTTTGCCATGATACTACGCCACTCAAATGGTGACGTAGAAAGAGTTCTTAGTGCTAGGAATTATATCAAATCTAATCTAAAAAACAGGATGACATTTGACCTCTTAAATGCTATCGTGCCATTAAAATTGGGCCTGATGAGACTAGAGAAATAAGCCTACTGTTCCACTTATGAAGAAATTTGAACAGCTAAAGCATACAAGGGTCATTTTGGATCTGAAGCTTCAACTGCATTATCCAAGCTAAGTTTATCCTGTGGATCTTGTGAGGCAGACATAAGTGAAGGTGAGGACATGATTATGTAGGGTAAGTCATAACAAAAGCTATGTAATTTTTGACTTTTTCAATTTGGATATTTTTTCTAAATCTTTTCCACGCAGATTTAGATCTTTTTAGATATTTTTTGACACCGTTTTGGATATTTTTTGTCAAAGAGAAGTGGCAACACTGGCTACAGGCGTCAAAAAATCCTTATCTTTTTTACTGACATTTTCCAGTACAGTCAAACTTTGATTAACCTTCACCGTCCGATCCAAGGTTGTGACGAATCATTAAACAGACGGATAACAGAGATCTCTAAATATATATATAATATATTAACGGCATTTCACTGCGGGTTTGGGACGAAAATGAAAATGAACTTTGATAACATTGTCTCTGCTTCTGAGTGGTAAGTTGCAAATTTTTGGTTAAGAACTGATCCTTCTTAGTTGTTGACAATTTTCAGTATTTGTTTTTTTTAAAGCCTAGTCAAGAATTATCGCTGTCTCTTTCTGATGTTTGCAATACAAGTCTGTGAGATAGTCTCCTTAGAAACGATGTCATTTTAGTCGTCAAACAAGATGTCACCGATCCTCTCTAACACCGGAACACATGACAGCTCAATGTGTTTGTGTCTGACTCTATATAGTTTACGGTCGTAACATGAACTCTATCTCTCATTTGGGAGCATTATTTTTTCTAATATCCAGTGACAGGTCTGTATTGCACATGATGTTCTTTATTTTATAAAAGGCAGTTTTTAGCCTCTTTTCTATTCCGCTCTAAATCTCAGTGAGATATTTTCGATCTGATAATTGATGTTTTTATCATTAAACATCTGTACTTTCTTCAAAAAAAAAACAAAAAAAAAAACATAGTTAACCTCAACTGAATAATAATACCTGATCTGTTTCTTTCATATCACCGTTTCTTCTGTCTTCTTATTACTCGTTACATGATAAAGATGTCGATGATGGTTGTGGTGTAAACGATACAAATGCTGATGCTGATAAAAGCTATAAAGAAGATAATAATTAAGAAGACAGTGATGATAACAACGACAATAAAATGATGATGATGACGACGAAGATGATGGTGATAACGATGAAGATGAGGTGAGGGGCAAATATGATGAACTACCCCTAACCGCCGGTGTGAATCACCTATTTACTGGATACAGTTATGAGAACTACCCCTGACCACCTGTGTGAATCACCTATCTACTGGATACAGTTATGATGAACTACCCCTGACCACCTGTGTGAATCACCTATCTACCGGATACAATTATGATGAACTACCCCTGACCACCTGTGTGAATCACCTACTGGATACAGTTATGATGAACTACCCCTGACCGCTGGTGTGAATCACCTATCTACCGGATACAATTATGATCAACTACCCCTGACCACCTGTGTGAATCACCTACTGGATACAGTTATGATGAACTACCCCTGACCGCCGGTGTGAATCACCTATCTATTGGATACAGTTATGATGAACTACCCCTGACCGCCGGTGTGAATCACCTATCTACTGGATACAGTTATGATGAACTACCCCTGACCACATGTGTGAATCACCTATCTACTGGATACAGTTATGATGAACTACCCCTGACCGCTGGTGTCAATCACCTATCTACTGGATACAGTTATGACATTACTTACCGCCACTGACGGAGACAGAACAAACATCCGGCCCTAATATGAGCATACGTGGAACTGCGAGGCCCGGCTGACACAAGATATCCACCACTGTTGCGGTGGCTGGGAACTGTTGACAATTCAGTTTCTGCGAAGGACCTTGATATTCTTTTGGTGCTGTTCTAATTTCATACACAGCACCTGGAGCTATAAAAGACGAACAGTTTTTATGTTTTCACAGGCTTATGTAAAGATCTGAAGGTATTCCTGTTGCAACAAATTCATAGGGTAGGAGTGAAGAACCAGTTTCCTACTAAGCGACATTTGGGCATTTATGTTGGCATCATTCTCGGGTAATACACTTTCATCAACTTTATTCTGATATATCTGGTCAAATATGTAACTGTAATTGCTTTTGTAAGGCAAGAATAAAATCTGTCGCCGGATATTCCCACCCCTCGGATGCGGATTTCAAATCGGTTTATCGTCTGTCATTGCGATTCATATCATTGTTAAATTCGATACAAGGATTAATAACGAAAATTATCGCAAAACCGAACTTTCCATAAGTTGAATAAACGAGTCATACGTAGACAATAGAAGCAGGCTTCTCCTAATTCGGGCATAGACTGACAGGCGGTGGCAAATTCCAACAAGAAATCAACAATGAAATAGAAAGTTCCTCATGCCTGTTTGTCGTGACTTCTGCTTTCATCAACAATGAACTGCAATTCTAGCTACAGACTGTTGGTTTTAGCACATCTGGCGTTTATTGTCTGCATTCAAAACGCATGCAAGCTGCTGAATTTGCAGGCACTGTCTGACTGTTCACATGGTATAATGATAGATAAATTTACTGGGCGGTTTTTCACTTACACACAACAATTATACGGTGACCCGTTTGCCGTGACGCTGGAAGCGTTACTGATAACCTGTTAACCTGTTCATCTTAGTGTATCAAGTGAAGTACAAGAACATGCATTGGTAACACCACTTAATCCCTGCACTGCATCTCAACGCCCTTTTAAATGGCTACCAAGTTCATATTTAGCACATATATATAACTAACATTGTAATTTATCAAGAATTTTTTATATTTTGAGTGTATCTATGTAAAGTAAAGATCCAATGTCACGCCTTTTAGGCGCATCTGGCATATGGGAAAAGGACCCATATTTTAACAGACCAATCGGCACTAAGTTGGTAATGTTGTCAGCATTACGCCGGCCGTCTTTACTTCCCCAGGACATCCATCCTGGTACATATTTTAGGCTGGATGGACCTGCGACGCCCAATACCACGATAAAGTATATCTGTGTGGTTATCATATTATATTTCTAAAATATTGACACTTAACATATGGTATATATTAGCATTTCAAACACTGTCATACTAATGTCTAGCATAAATTTTCATGTCTAGCCCATTTACATAGATTAACTAGATTGTTGAAAAACTTCTTCTTCTTCTGCCTTTCTATCCCCCAATGGAGCATAGGCCCTCAACCAACTCACGCCAAGTCGTTCTATCCTTCGCCATTATATGGAGCTCTCCCTGTGTCCTCCCCATCTTTCTAACCTCATTCTCCAGCTCTCTTCTCCATGTGTTTTTTGGCCTTTCTTTATTCCTATGTCCCTGTGGGCTCCAATGCAAAGACATTCTAGTTATGCTGTTCTCCTGTTTTCTCAATGTGTCTCCTATCCAATGCCAACGTCTTTTCCTTACCTCTTGGTCCACTGAAGCCTGTTTAGTTCTCTCCCAGAGCTCTACAGATTATTCTATCATACCATTTAATTCCCTCTATTCTGCGCAGGCACCAGTTAATTAATGTCTGTAATTTTTTAGTCATTGCCTTATCTGTTCTACGTGTTTCCGCCCCATATAAAAGTACTGATTTGACATCAGAATTAAAGATTTTTAGTTTATTATAACTTTTAATTTCTTTTGACCTCCACAAATTCCCCCAGTGCTATAAAAGCTCCTCTTGCCTTTTGTATTCTTGTTTAAAAAACTAACATGTTTACATATTTTTAAATCTAAAATTTTGATGCGCATAACATATTCATAAGGTGAACATGTTTATTTGTTTGTGGTTTGATGTTGACAACTTTCCGTCTGTACCGTTGGCAGTGTTATATTGTATTGCATGGAGGCGTGGCAATCACAGCCCATGCGAGGGCGAGTGTGACCAGCAAGACCCGTTCACGTTAAATGAATTCTGATCCAACAAAATAAACGCATAATTATCCGATGGCACGTTTTTATTAGTTTGTAAATAAAGTAGTTATTCAATAAAGTCGATATTTATACCGGCTTTAGGTTACTTATGCCAGACTTGGACGTTGACAAAAGAACACGAGAGAAAACTAACCACCTGTGAGATGAGATGTTTGAGAATGGCTCTGAATAAAACCAAAAGAGACTGAGTGAGAAATGGCGTGATCACAAGAACTGTTGGAACAACACCCAACGTCAAATTTATTGAGAAACAAAGAATGAAATGGTTTGGCTATCTAATGAGAATGAAACCAACGATGCCAGCTGCAAAAGCGTACAACCTAAAGATCGAAACATCAAGAGGCAGAAGAAGACGGAGAAGAATATAGATTAAAGGACTCAATGACACCTAGAGACTGCATATCATCACGGCACAACAAGCGACTGAGCGTGCCCTGGCTTGGCTGCTGATTGCCAGATGAACTGCGACGCCAAGCAGCATAAGCAGATATTGACAAAAGAAGACGAAGAAATACAATATCGTACCTGGGTATGTAAAAAGTAGACTTAAATGTTGTTTACCGTGTCCAGTGAACATGTAGGCGTGAATTGCGTGGGTTTTTGTAATCGTTACTTCGCATTGGTCAATTTTGTTTAGGACCATATTTTTTTAACATAGCTCATGGTGCGCGCATGAGAACGCAACACAGTTTGGGGTAAACACTATTCACTGCCTGCTCAATTAAAACCATATAAAAAGATAACGTTACATCGAAACATTCAGTTCATTTTCAAGCAGTCACTAATGGCAACTTTATCGATAAATTTAAGGAATATTGATAATAGCTAATTACAGGCAGAAGAAAGTCAGAGTACCATCAGTCTTGGGTATCGGAATACCGACTCCCTACAAGATGTTATGTTATTTTATGTTATTACAACCGACGTCACTGCACATTGGCATTCCCATGCGTGCTCAGTCCTCCGATGCAGCAGCCACTCCAAAGTACTTCTACTAACTGTTCTCATGAGAAGCTGGTTATATTGTCTCCTATCTCGTCCTCGAAGACGGCAAAGACGTGTTTCACCATGCTTGACTCCCATGTCACGCAATCGTGTTAGTGTCAGGGATTCCTCATTATCCACTAGTCCAGTCCGTACAGCGTTGACGATATCAGCTCTGTCCTTGCTTTTCACCGCAATCCCTAGTGCAGTGCTTGCCAGTTGGTCTGCTCGCTCTTTTCCCCGCATAATCTGGTGTGTAGATCCAGGTTACGGAGGTTAAGTGCGATTTTGGAATGCTTTCAACCTATTCAGAGCGCATACCGCCTGTTTCTATCTTCTGAAGCATATACACTGAGTCTGAGACAATTACTGCCTGTATGGCTGTTTCCTCGGATACCCTTGCTAAACCTCTAGAAGCAGAGGCTATTTCCATGGTCATGTTTGACGTGGTTAAATGGTAAGCGCCGCTGTCCTCCTAATTCGATCATTCTACGCACTTATATGTGTGTATTGAAAATAAAAGCGTGTCCCTTGACTTTCTCTGCTGCACGGTGGTGGAGGTGTAATGGTTTCAGGAATGATCAGTTACAAAAGATGGAGTCAATTGGTACACATTAAAGGAAGCTTGAATACCCAACGATACGTCAATGAAATTCTTCGACCACATGCCTTTCCATTTTGGAATGCCAACAGATATCTTTTCCAACAGAACAACACCAGACCCCCATTCTTCACGGTCGACCTGCAGTTCCTAGCTGCCAACAACATTCAAATCCTTCCCTGGCCATCCATGTCTGCAGACATGAGTCCGATAGAGCACTTGTGAGTTGATCCGTAAAGACGTGTTTGCTGCCGAGACGGTGCTCCAGCCAATGGTCTATTCTGTTTCCGGCACTCTAGGAAGAGAGGGCAGTCATCCTACAGACCACATCAGACATCTGATAGCATCCACGGTCAGGAGATGCCAGTCACTGATCCACGCAAGAGCAGGCCACATACCATACTCACGGGAAACGCCGTGCGCTTATGGTGACGCAGATGCAAAAAAAAAGTGTTCATTAATTGGCGGAACCCTAATATTTTACTTTTGTGAAATTTGGACCATTTCACTTTTTGCATTACAAAGATGTAGAATGTCAAATTTGTGAGTATTATGTCCTTTTTTTTTTTTAAACGGTATATGCATACTGCTAGTTAAAAGTCAAGGGACACGCTTTTATTTTCAACACACATATATAAGCGCATATAATAATCAAATGAAGCAAGTTCTTAGTATAATTGGGTGCAATAATTTTTATACGACAGTCCTCTGTGAGTTAAAGCATGAAAACAGCTCACCGACTGCTATGATGATACCGGGCATTTTGGTTTGCTAACTATAAATTCACATTTGGAATGGGTTTTTTAAAACTTTCCTACAATCAAACAGCTATTGAAATCGTGTTGATTGACATTCCCATTGCAATTGTGACTGTTCGTGAACAGAGTTCGCACCTTTTTTGTTTAACATCATTTGAAGAAAAAAAATGCCATCCAGAAGAAACGTTAATGCCACCATTCAGAGACTCGAATTGCTACTCGAGGCCCTGCAGTCAGAATTGCTTTTAGGCCTGCTCATCGTAGATGAGATGAACAAGGTAACAATGGAGTCAAGTTCTCTTCACTGGTGAATCTCGCTTTGATGTATCATTCAATGATGACAGGATTCGAATTTGGAGACGACCAGGAGAGCGATTCAATGATGACGCAGTCTTAGGGATGAATCTTTATGGTAGGAGTTAACTGTGGCCTGGTGAGGTATGTCAGAACCCAGCTCTACATTATCCAAGGCAACTTGACAGACCCAAGATAACAGAGCACAATCTTAAGACCATTGGTTATAATCGCAGTTCCTGATCAGGAGGCCATAGGTGGTAATGCCACCCTCCAAGATGATTACGCTCGACCCCATCCCGCTCGTGTCGGCAACGACTTGATTCAGCAGCATGGGATCATGAGGATGGCGTGGCCAGCTCATTCACCTGACCTTTCTCTGACTGAGCACCTGTGGTATGTCCTTGGTCGAAGACTGTCAACAAATCGCTCCCTGCCCATGAATATTGCACAGCTGATGGTATTTCTGCTGCAGGAATGACAGGCTGTTTCTCAGGTTAGGGTACGGGTGGACTCGATGAGTCTACGTTTTCTGTATGCCTTGCTGCAAATAGTGGTCACACAAGATGTTGACATGTCTAAAGTCTAATTGTCTAACTGCATATCCTTTACATGACGTGGCAGAACGAACTCCAGTAATTTTTGGCTGTTGTGGTTTCTCTGTGCAAATTGTATCTTCAGTAGTTTACCACTGCTTACTGAACGGTCAGCTCTCGGTACCACTGTCGAAACCAACCTAAGACAAATCGTCAGCATCTGGGATGGAATCCGGCATTACGAAGCGCGTTTGCAACACCTAAGCCACAGAGACTATTTGTCCAGTATTTATTGTTGAGTTGAGTCGAGAATTGACATCACAGCACTCAGGGTGTTCCGTCCTCATCTTCAGCAGCCAGCACAGAGTTCCAATATTAATGGTACCGTCATACTCTTGTTATACAAGTATGTCCGTCTTGCCTCTACTCTGAGTGTAGAGAGCCGGTCAGACCCTCTGGTTACTGGGTCACCTCTGAGTGTAGTGAGCCGGTCAGACCCTCTGGTTACTGGGTCACCTCTGAGTGTAGAGAGCCGGTCAGACCCTCTGGTTACTGGGTCACCTCTGAGTGTAGTGAGCCGGTCAGACCGTCTGGTTACTGGGTCACCTCTGAGTGTAGTGAGCCGGTCAGACCGTCTGGTTACTGGGTCACCTCTGAGTGTAGAGAGCCGGTCAGACCCTCTGGTTACTGGGCCACCTCTGACTGTAGTGAGCCGGTCAGACCGTCTGGTTACTGGGTCACCTCTGAGTGTAGTGAGCCGGTCAGACTCTCTGGTTACTGGGCCACCTCTGAGTGTAGAGAGCCGGTCAGACCCTCTGGTTACTGGGTCACCTCTGAGTATAGTGATCCGGTCAGACCCTCTGGTTACTGGGTCACCTCTGAGTGTAGTGAGCCAGTCAGACCCTCCGGTTACTGGGTCACCTCTGAGTGTAGTGAGCCGGTCAGACCCTCTGGTTACAACCAGGTGCCTCATTCTCTCCAGGCCATAATAATCTTGTTTTTCTACTTTTTTTGTTGCTAGTTCCCAAAGGGCATTGACCACATCTGCCTTGGCGTGTATCAATTCACCACCCAATGGTGCAGATTCAGCCAATCTGTCTGCCTGTTCATTAACCACCACGCCGGCATAGCCTGGGTAAAAGATCAAAAGTATGCTCCAGTATCTATTGTATGAGGTTTGGAAAAGTGGGTGACACAGCTGACAACTTGGTTACGTTTACATGTGTGTTTCCATTTCCTTATGTGACATGTCAGTTCGGTATTCAATAAATGCCGTTTGTCGCTGATATTACCTACTGTCATATCAGATTTGTTTTACGGTTAAACACAACGCTTTTTCTCAGTGGCCATAGACATTTTGATGAGTAATATATATATATATATATATATATATATATATATATATATATATATATATATATATATATATATAATGTAGACTTCTAATATGTTTATATTATCTGCCATGCTTGTAAATCTAATGTCTGAATATCTAAAAAGAGCAGCATGTAAATTAATTCAAAGATGGATAAGAGACATGCAAAGTAGTAGCAGCAGCAGCAGTTGAACTGGTAGCAGCAGCAGCAGTTGAACTGGTAGCAGCAGCAGCAGTTGAACTGGTAGCAGCAGCAGTAGTGTCAGTAAAAGTAGTATCATTAATACAAGTAATACACGGTAATAGTATCAGCTGCAATGAATAAACTACTGTCCTTGGAAATATTATCTGGCGAAGTCCCAATCTCTTCCTCGGTATGACTCTCGTACCACTGAGAAAAACCAAGAGAACATAATCATTGTTCGTGTTTAAAGTCCTCCGTGTATACTGAACCCCCTCACATCAAAGGTCATGACCCTGTCAAATTCTCTCACTAGTATATAAGCCACATAACCAGTAGTAATAGTAATAGAATATGAAGTACTGAGGAGAAGGAGAAAAAAAAAAGAGGGGGGGGGGAATCAAGAAAGGACCAAGGATGTATCGAATCAAAGCGACTGTGCATAAACTAATGGTAGTCTTACCCCGGTGTGAGACATGCAGTCGGAGCCAAGTGATGAAATACGGTCTCTCTAGATCCACTAATATTTCTTGCAGTTTGTTTCTGGGTGGCTCATCTCCCTGACAAGCTTGTCCTAGTTGTTTGCCAAACATTCGATCTGTTGCAGCGAGATCCACTGCAGAAAAACAGATACACAATACACCACAGCACCATTACCTCGTCGTCGTCGCCACAGTCAGTATCGTCATGATAATCATCACCATCGTCGTCGTCATCCTCATCATTACAACCATCATCATCATCCACATTATATCTTTGCATGTTGTAGTACAAGACTGTCAGGTCTCTGGGATGATGGTTCACAAACTAAGTGCCGTCAGTGTATACCAGGGGTGCCAGGCAATAATCAAAAACAAAATCGGCTAAAAAACGGAGACATTATTACAGAAGGCATGAAGATGTTTGCAAGTTGAAAATTAAGTTATCTCCCCTCGCTACAGTCATGCAGTACATTGTAAGTGACACTGTGAGGTGTATAGTAGCAATCAGCCAGCCTGATCAAGTAAGTAGCTACATTTATTTGTAATGCGCTCTTGCGTTGCTCTAAAAAAAAAAATTTATCACGCACTTTTGCAACTTTTTAGGAGGTGGGGGGGGGGGGAGGGGGGTTACTTCTCTCCAGGTATATTTGAAGATATTGCTGTTGTTGTTTGTCCATCACAAGTGATGAGGACCAGTCCTTTCATCCATTGGTGGCTGGGTTAGGTTTTGTGAGTGAGCAGATGGCTGATAAGGCGAATTCTAGCACTGAAAGTTCTTGAACAATGTGGTCTTGGGATAAAAGCCGCATCTCTCTGGTTATTTGCTTCAGTGTCTTTCCTGGCTTGTCTTTTCTGAATTACTGCTGCAGTTCTAAAAGCATTTTTCAGTGAGGTCTTGGGGCTGTCCTTAAAACGTTTCTTCTATCCACCTTGAAAGCGTTTTCCTTTTAGTAGCTCACCATAAAAAAATTATTTTTGGCAGTCGGTGGTCAGGCATGTGGACTATATGACCTGCCCAGTGAAGTTGTGATTGTTTTAGAATAGAGTAATACTGGGCAGTCCAGCTCTGGCAAGGACTCAATGTGTCAGGGATCCTGTCTTGCCATTTTTTTTTTTCCAGCAACCTTCTGAGGCACACTGTACGAAAGAGGCTCAGCTCCTTATCATAGCGCTGGTAAACGGTCCATGTTTCACATGCATAAAAAAGTACAGGAAGTACGACAGCTTTGAGCTTCGTCTGCAGGCTGAGGCCAGCTCTGTGCCAGACTTTTGTACGAAGTCAACCAAATGCGCTGCTGTCTTTGGATATCCTTGTATTGATCTCCATCCAGACTGATGTAAACGTTCTGAGCGAGTAAGCTGCCAAGATGTGTAACTCTGTCTACTGCCTTTAATGCTTTACCCCTGACTGTGACGTTTGGTTTGGATAACTTGTCCCCGGGGCTGGCTAATACATTATTTCAGTTTTGTCAGTGCTTATGACAAGCCCAAACTTTGTAAAGGCTTCGGATAATTTAGTAACACTATGTTGTAGTTCAGGCTCTGGGCTGGCAAAGATAGCACATTCTCAAAGATATTAAAGATATTGCTAACGAGAATATAAAGGTACGTTTAAAATACATAAAACGAACATATCAACGAACAATGATTTAAAGGCCGACTCGTTTGCATTTGTTTATGCAAGCTTTATGGCAGTCGTCAGTTCGCACAAACATTCAAATCCTCTTTTTTACTCCAGCCTCATACTGAATTATATAAATTGCCCGCGTCGAACTTACGAAACAAAAATTGTGGTAGTGTGTTGTGCTTTTTTGCGTGCCGTTTCTGAAAGGTTTTAATTATTTTGAGTTTTTAAAGAAATTGGGCATGGGGTAAAATTCTAAAAGCATGGAGTAAATACATAATTTATTGAAGTTGCCGAGTTTGTTTACATTTTCTAATGAAGAAGTAAAACAAAAATAGTCCATTTTTTTCCCACTTAGTATTCAAACAGCGTGTAGCCGTGTCGTGAAATTTTAGCACGACAAAAAATGTTTGCAAACCCCTGCTCAAGAACATTATTAGTAACTACTCGTTTGTGACGCAGCGGTGATATTTTGCCACATCAGTTCAAACTAAAATAAATTAATTTGCCATAGTAATTTAAGTATTCAAATTTAAGTTAGTTTTTGTGTTAACAGTTTGTGACTCAAAAGTTTAAAACTAATTTAAAAATTTTTTTTTCGCTTTGTCAAATTCAGTCGCTGGCTGGCCTACTTTGTAGTTGGCATGTTTTGATGAGAGTGGTTTAACGGCATGGCAGAATTAGACGTACAACAACTGATAGATGGAAGTTATTCTGTCTGCAGAAGGTTTTAAAATAGACAAATGTGGCATAAGTGGATACCAAGCATAAGTATGTCAACATCGCAGTGAATCACGTGGATATGTTACGTTATGGTCTCACAGTCAATGTCATTGTACATTGTGCATTCCCATGCGTGCTCATTCCACCGATGCAGTAGTCACTAAGGTAATTCAACCAATTGTTCCCATGAGGGGCTGGTTTTAATGTCTCCTATCTCGGCCCCCAAACGTGGCATAGATGTCCTTCGCCATGCTTTACTCCCATGTCATGCAATCATGTTACTGTCAGAGATTCGTCATTATCCCCAAGTCCACTACGTACAACGTTGATGATATCGGCTCTGTCCATGCTTCTTCCCACATGAGTTGGTGCAGTGCTTGCCAGATCGTCCGCTCGCTCAATGCCCTTTACGCCAGCATGACCAGGTATGTAGATCCAGGTGAGAAAGGTTTAATTCAATGTTCGAATACCTTCTACCCATTCAGAGCACTTACCGCCTGTTGCTAGTTTCAGAATTGTGTGCATGGAGTCTGATTTAATTACTGCCTGTTTTCCTGTTTGCTCCGCTGCCCATGCTACTGCTGTAGAAGCAGAGGCTATTTCCATGTTCATGCTTGACGTAGTAGCCTGGTGAGCGCCGCTATCCCTTTTATCGTTTTCCCTATCCGTTGTGCTATGTATGCCCACATATGGATATACTGTCCGGAATATGCAGGAGTGCGAGGCGATAAAAAAGCGAAAGCTACGGGAACACTCCCACTGGACAATGAGATATAGTGAAAGCCGTATCTGAGCGAAAGCTTACATAAGACACAAGATTAGATGAAATAACATGTGTAGGAATGTGTGAACCGGGAATCAGGAGTGGACCCACCAAGGACGTGCGTATGAGAGGAAGAGAACAGCGTGTGTATAATCTACGGGAACAGTTAGCATTTACATGCTGCGGGAGACGGCGCATCTATGGGTATGTACTAAAGACAAGAAGTGGACGAGCAACCAGAACGTTTAGCCGAATTATAAAGCCAGTGCACTCGAATAAGAAGAAAGAAGAAAAGATGAATGCTGTTTTTTTTTTTTTTTTTTTGGTCTAACCTCTCAAAATCATGTAAGATGGTTAACCCAACTCATAACTTATAACGTGAAACGTTTACTCTGTTTTGGAGAGTGTATGCATGTATTTATGCATACATGTATGTATATCTGTTTAAGTAAGTGAGTGGGACGACTTGTGTATGTGGGTGTATTTTTCTCCTTCTTCTGCGTTCGACATCAGTCATGCTAAACATTGAGTCCCGTATGGGTAAAAAAAAAGGATTGTGCGTTTTAGGTCGCCACCGGTCTCCCATAGCTTCACTTGCAATGTGGCTTCCTTGGGCCAGATCCACAGTCTTTGCTGGGAGAGGTAAGGGCAGTACTTTAGTGTGTGCCCAGTGGTCTGTCTTTCTGCTCCACAATCACAGGCAGCAGATTCTTTTATGCCTATCCTGTACAAGTGTGCTCGAAGACCACAGTGTCCAGTCCGAAGTCTAAAAATTGTTGTTTGTTCTTTCCTGTTGAGTTTGTTTATGCTGTCACTCTCTGGTCTGTAATCTCCATTCTGCCTTCTCCACTCCCGCTTGAAAGACTGCTTTAGCGCTGTTTTGGTTTCCTTGTAGCTGTGTGGTGGATGAGGTTGTGGAAGATTACTCCCAGCTTTTGCTAACTTATCTGCTCTCTCATTTCCTTGAATACCACAGTGGGCTGGTATCCACTGCAAGACCAGTTCTGCTTCCTTGGAGAGTAAGCCAATGTTGGTCCTTAGATCAGCAATTAGTTTGTCTTGTTTTCTGCTGGATAGTGCTTGGAGAACAGACAATGAGTAACTAAGTATAACAATGTGGTGCCCTCTGTGTTCTTGAGTGATGAGATGTTGGACTGCAGAGAGGAGGGCAGTTGCCTCAGCTCTGAAGTTAGTGCAGATGTCACATGCTGGTAGAGAGAGAGTTTCTGCTCTACTGCTAGGGGGTTTAATGTAAATTCCACAACCCCCTTTCTGACTGCATCTGTAGCAGAGCCGTCGGTGAAAACCTAAGTCCAAGTGGTGTTTGGATACTTCTCATCAAGCATAACAAGAGCCAGGGTTCTCTGGTGTGTCTCCGTCTGGGCATCTTTTGAAGTGATCCCTGGTACCTTTAGGACTACATTGTGGGTGTATATACCACCCATGCTTTTGTGTTTTTTCTTGATATTCATATCTTCTTCTTCCTCAGCATTCCGATCCCTTGAGGTTTACTGCTGCAGACATCACCCGTCTCCATTCATCTCTCTGGTTGACCTCCTCTTTCCAGTTAGTAAATTTAAGAGTTTGCAGGTCTGTCTGGATATTATCTCTCCATCGTCTTCTTGGTCTGCCTCGTTGTCTGCGACCACTTATCTCCCTAGTGTATACAGTTTTGACTTCTCTGTAATTTGAAATTCTCTCAATATACCCAAGCCGTTTCAGTCTATTAGCTTTCATGATGCCAGTGATAAATGCTTATTTAAACAGATTATGAATTCCGTTGTCGCTTATCACTCTCCATTCACCGCTGTTTGCATCTTAGATGGGTCCAAAGATTCGTCGTAAGACTCTGTTTTCGAAAACCTGTAATAAGGCTTCATCCCTTTAAGTTGTGTTTCAAGTTTCAGAGCCATGTAAAACGACTGGTCTTGTCAACGCTGTGCATCTTTTGATATTGGTGTTGCGAGACATGCACTTTGACTTTAGCAGATGTTAAAAACAAATTATGTGTCGCATTACTTAAA